CTCCCAACTTCCCTATAAGTCATATAAAGCAGATAATTTAATATTTAATTCATGGGTGAAGAAGCCGAGGCTCTGAGAAGTTGCAATGCTTCTAAATGATGCTAACTAGATGTAACCCCTGGGGCTGACACTAATTCTATGCCCATTCAGCTCCCACAGCCTGGACACTCATAACAAGCCAGGCGCCCACCAGCTCTGCACCTTTGCCACACTGTGCCTCCTACCTGGAATGCCATCCCTCATCCCTTGTGTTTGTCTAAATCTTCTTTGAAGTCTCTGTTCTAACCTTAACTACCCCCCAGCCATCAAGTCTCTCCTGTGTCCAGACAGCCTATAGGGGTCTCTTGAACTCCTAGAAGGCCCACTCTCTAGGCTGAAATAGGACACTGACATCCTATGGTGGCCTGTTTATGGTTCTTTTTCATGTGCCCATGTCTGCCTCCCTGACCTGACCGTGAGCCTTTGGAGGAAGAAACTGTGTCTTACTACTCTCTGTGGTTGGGATATAGTAGATGCTTAGTAAATTCCTGTTGATTAAATGAATGATATTGAGGTTGTTGGCCAATCTTCTGTTTAGGCTCTCAGAAACATACTTGTGAGAGAAGCAGACTAGCTTTTACTAAGCAGTTAGGCCCTGAGTGCAGAGATAAAAGGACCTGAGTGCATAGTGTCTGCATCAGGAAGCACCAAGTCTAATTAAGAAACAGCAAGTACATAGATAATAAGTGTACATATTGGAAAGTTTCAAATGGAGTACAAGGTACAAGGTGCAATTGGAGAACAAAGGCCGTGGGGGAGGAGGGAGTAGAAGGAGGGGATGAAAGCAACAAGGCGAAAGAAGGAAAGGTGAGGTCTGAAGAAAGTCTTATAGCGTGAGTAGAAATTGACCAGCAGGACAAAGGGTGGCATGGTGGAATATAGAAAGGGGCTCCATGGTCTAGAAGAGGAACAATAACAACAAGAATAAAATAGCCCAGAGACATGAGAGGACATTAAATCAATATAAAAGTTCCATGGGGGATTATTTAAATGCCATCCTGGAGTCCAAATAGACTCTGCCACCTGGATGGACAGATGGATGGAAGAATGGATGGATGGATGGATGGATGGATGGATGGATGGATGGATGGATGGGTATTATGAACATTCATGTAACAAGAGTAAAGAGGGTGTAAAGAGGACACATAGGTAAAAGATGAGCTCCTGATTCTGAATATTAGAATTGTTGGTATTAATAGCTATGCTTTTGTGTTAAGAAAAACAATGTAAGTTTATTACTAAATAACCAGGAAATAAAGGTAAGTGATTTTTAAAGTTACTTTTAATCCCTCCAACCAGATATAACCAGTGTTAACATATTTATGTTAGCCTTTCCACCCTTTCTTTAGTGTCTTTCTATCTTAATCATCTGTCTGTCCATCTAACTATACATTTGTATACATATCTATCTATGATCTTTTTATTCATCCACCCATTCATTTATCCATCTATACTTTTCCAAAACAAAAATAGGCTCATATGGTACTTTACATTTTGTAACCTAATTTTTCTAAACAATTTGTTATAAGAATCCAGTAATTTCTACCTATTTTTAAGTCAAATCTTAATAGCCATATAATATTCCATCCTATGAAAGTACTACAGTTGATTTAATCAATCCTTTCCCTCTTTTGCAGTTATCACAAGTGTTTTAGTGAACATTGGTGCTCTTCTTTTGGGCCAAAGTAACAGCAAAGAGGTTACCTTTCTCTAAAGTTTATGAGGCTCTGAGTTGACTGACCAAAACTTGAACTTGATATGGGGTCATATTAATCCTCTGACATAAATCAGTTGCCTCCTGAAGTGACATCTCTATCTCCACTGTATCTTTCCCTGGAAATGTCAGACAGGGCAGAAGGTCCTCCCTGACAGGGCAGGTACATTAGTGCAACCATCAGCAATCAGATATTATCTTCTGCTGATGGGGTCTGATAGCACTAGCTCTCCCACATCTTCACAGAGCTGGTGATTCAGAGCTGTCAACTAACACAGCTGCAAGGAAATGCCAATGGTGGATTTACGGTGTGAGGCAGTAACTTTGTGACCCCCAGGTGGAAAAACAGATGCCTTTGAAGTAAGACTAGTCAATGTGGCAAAATGGGAGAGGGAAGCACTTACCTTATAGTAAAAGAGAATACATCCTGCCACTTCCTTGAAACTTCAGATCTTCAATGGCTCCCTATTACTTACAGGAAAAGTCTTAAGCTTTTCAGTCCAGCAAAGAAATAATGAATGTAATGGAACGAGGAGTGGCTGGAAAGCCAGAAGCTATAGATTCTAGCTGCTGTCTTGCTACCCACCAGCAGTGTGACCTGGGCAAGTCACCAGTTCTTGAGTTTATTTTCCTCCATCTGTAAAATGATCATACGTAGATAATGTCTGAGTGTTTTGATAAATGAGTCAGTAAAAAGTCATGCATCATTCAAAGTCATTTACTGAGGGATTTCATGTGCTGAGGGTGGAGTTGAGTGGGATAGACCAGTGCCTGACTAGGGAACTTGCACTCTAGGAAGTAGGAGTCAGAACATAAAATAATCAGTAGACTATCGAATAGTGATAAAGTACCGTGTTGAATGCAAAGTGATGGGGATGGTAGAGAGCAATGTAGTGCCCGGGTTAGGTTGGATGCTCAAGAGATGATGATCTAGCAGCTATGGTTGGAATGAGAAGCTAAACAAGCCACAGAGAATCTGGGGAGAGAGAATTCAGGCCGAGGGATAGCATGATAAGTCCCCACAGGCAAAGAGGTGAGCTTGGTGTTCAACTAACTAAATGCATATTTACTAAGTGTCCTTCTCCTAGATTCCAGGGATTCAAGGACAAGAATACAAGAGTCTCTGCCCTCGCTAAGCTTAGGGTGAAGTGAAGGAAGCAGATGATTAAACAAATAGACCTTTTGCAGTATAATGAGCACTGTGACGATGAGCAGAAATTTGGAATGCTTCTGGGAAAATGTGACGGGAGCTTTTACCTTAGTCCAGGAAGCTCAGGGAAGCCTTCCCTGAAGAGGTGCCCTGGAAGCTGAGATCAGATCAAACAACATCAATTTTTTTTCAAAGCCAGCATGGAACTTGAGTTCTAATCTACTGATGGTCTATACCTACCCATGCACATTCTTTGGCCACAGCTAGGATTCTGCTGAACCCTAAATGACTTTGCAGAAATTCTTTACTCATTTGGAGGAAGCCCAGGGCATTGCAAGGAAAATAGACGAGGTTCATTAAAGCATTAAAAAAAATGTGTTATCATGTTTATTATCACTTACCAGAGTAGCTCTCAAACTTGAGTACACATCACAGTCCCCTGGAAGTCTTATTGAAACACAGATTGATGGGCCTCATCCCCTGAGTTTCTGATTCAGGAAGTGTTAGTTCATTCCCATGCTGCTATGAAGAAATACCCAACACAGGGTAATTCATAAAGAAAAGAGATTTGCTTGACTCATAGTTCCGCATGGCTGGGGAGGCCTCAGGAAACTTACAATTATGGTGGAAGGCAACTCTTCACAGGGTGGCAGGAGAGAAGATGAGTGCAAGCAGGGGAAATGCCAGACACTTATAAAACCATTAGACCTTGTGAGATTCACTCACTATCACGAGAACAGCATGGAGGAAACCATCCCCGTGATTCAATTACTCTACCTGGTCCCGCTCTTGACACATTGGGATTATGGAGATTACAATTCAAGGTGAGATTTGGGTGGGGACACAGAGCCAAACCATATCAGGAGGTCTGGGTAGGGCCTGAGAATTTGGTCAAGCAAGTTCTCAGGTGGTGTTGATGCTGTGAGTTGGGAAACCACACTTTGAGAACCACTGACTTCGAGTGCTTGGCATTTGGGACATAGAGATGGTTGTCTAATTCTCCTTAAAGCTGGTGGAGGGGAACAGAGAGAACAGAGCTAGGGACTGGAGCTCCCAGGCCAGTTCACCTGAGGCCCTCCCCAGCCTGGTTTCTCCTTTAGAGATTTTATAGCCAGCAGACCCAAAGTACAACATCTAGCCTTGCTTTGGCATTTGTATTCTAATGTGTAAACAAACTTGAAATATTTCCTAATTTTCTGACAAAAAAGTAGAGGGGTGTTTGCCAAGTACTGTGGTCTGAATGTTTGTGTCCCCCAAAATTCATATGTTGAATCCTGACCCCCATGGTAATGCTATTAGAATGTGGAGCCCTCACAACTGGGATTAGTACCTTATAAAAGAGGGCCCAGAGAGCTAGCTAGCCCCTTCTACCATGTGAGGACACGGCTAGAAGGCTCTATGTATGAATAAGAAAATAGGCTTTCGCCAGACATCAAATCTGCTGGCACCTTGATCCTAGACTTCCCAGCATCCAGAACCATGAGAAATAAATTTAGTCTATGGTGTTTGTTACAGCAACCCGGATGGACTAAGACTCCAAGCCAAATAACAAGCTCCAAATGCACATTCTCAGCTTGTCCTCTTGGGTAGCTTTCTCTCAGTTATTTTTTTCTCAGTCAGGGAGCTGCCAAAGTCCATACTGATCCCCTACTGGGTCACACTCCTCAAATACCACTCTAATGGCCTCTGGACTCTGATGACATCAGGATAAACCCACACAGGTATCTTGTAGTGAACGAAGCCCCAGCCTTGCAATCGCCTAATTCTCAGTCTGAATTTCAGGACAATCACGTAGCAAGGATCCTTTGTGGGAGCTACTTGAAGGCTCTTTGAGCCTTAGAATAGTGCAGGGAGGGGCAGCAATAGCTCCACAGGGTTGTTGGGATAATTACAGAAGACTATGAATGTCATATCTTTGGGTATAGAAGGTGCTCAGTAGGTTAGGGATGCTTACAATAGTCTGTCATTTAAAGTGGTCCTGGACATAGAATTGCTAGCTCCAGGCCCATCACCTTCTCCCATATTGCTCCAGGCCTCAAGGGTCCACAATGGGTAATGGTGGGGTTATCCTGCCGTGCCTACTAAGCTTTCTTCCAGGACACAATTGCAGGCCCTTGAAATCTTTTGCCTGGATTATTGCAACAACTTCCAAAGGGACTCATCTGTCTCCAGGACACCCCTCCATCCTCCTCTGCATCATCATCAGGGGAACCTTGGTAAAGCAAAGCCATGATCATGCTTATCACCTGGTGGAAACCCTTCAAAGACTCTCCACTCACCAGAGCAGGCACCACATCCTTACAGTCTACAGAAGGCAGGAGGAAACAGAAATGAGTGCCAGGTCCATAGGTAGGCAATGGGGAGCAGTGGGGATTGCAGTAAAATGGAGTTTGGCTGTTTAAAGGCACCCAAACTCAGAATTCTGTAAAATCTTCTATGGGCCAAATAAAGTTTGTCTTGAGATTCTGTGCCTGGCCTTGACTACCAGTGTGTGAGAGCTGGCCTGGCAAATGAGGCACAAGCTCCTTAGCCAGGCTAACCAGGTTCAGCCTCCTTCTTGCTGTGCTCCACCTCACTTAAAATTCATATAGCTACCAAACTGTCTGCAGTACCTCCACACCTGCCATGCTGGTCCTCAGCCATGTCCTTTGATCAAGTCTGGAAAGCCCTTCCCTTGCTCTTCACTTGGTGAATGAAGAAGTCCTGCTCATCCCTCTAAAACTCAGTTCAGGCAACACCTCCTCCAGGAAGCATTGTTTCGCACTCATTCCCAGTTTTTCCATATGGATATGTATCTTTTCCTGGTGTCCCAACAATATCTGTTGCCTTTCTTCATCATTACAATTATTAAGTGGTAATGGCAATATAATTATCTTTTTTTGCCTCTGTCTCCCCTGCTAAGGTGTAAGTACCTAATATCAGGGACCAAGTGTTAATGATCTTTGTGTCTAGCAATAATGAGGTGTTCAATCATTGTTAAATGGATGAATGCAGAGGCAAGTGCCCCTCCCCTCCCCTGTTCCTCTACTCTCCCATGAGGTAGGGAGCAATCTGAACAGTGACCGGCACAACAGCCACTTGGGAGAGGCATAAGAGTGGTCACCTCTCTCTCCCTTTCCACCGCAGGAATGTATAGAAGACAGTACAAGCAACAAAGAACTGAGGAGCAAGAATGCCCTTGAGTTCCTCTCTCAGCTATTACAAACTCTCCCCTATTGATGGTTCAAATTTCCAAGAGAGAATCTGATCATCCAGTGAAATCACCCAGGCCCCAGTGGGACAGTGGCCCACACAAGCTCTCCCCAGCTGCCTGCCAGACTTCCACTGGCTGCTTGTAGGCAGAGGCCCTTCTTTGCTCCGATGAGGACAGGTTCATCTGCCAGAAAACATGGCACCTTCTGTGGACAGAAACTCTTAGTCGGTTTGGGCTGCTATAACAAAATATCATAAACTAGGTGGCTTATAAACAACAAATATTTATTTCTCTCAGTTTCGGAAGCTGGGAAACCTAAAATCAAGGTGCTGGCAGTTTCAGTGTCTCGTGAGAGCCCTTTCCTCAAAGATGGCACTTTCTATATATCCTCACATGGCAGAAGAGGCAAAGATGGTCCCTTGGTCCTTTTTTTAAATATAAAGGTACTAATCCCATTTATGAAGACTCTGCCCTTGTGACCTAATCACTTCTAAAAGACCCCATCTGCTAGTACCATCACATTGGGGAATAGGAGTTCAACGTATGAATTTTAACCAGAGGAGGACACAAACATTTAGATCATCATAATCTCTCGCAAAGTCTTTGACTGGCAAGGGTTACGCAGCCTGGGTGGTGCAGGACTTAGGACCAAGATTAGGTAAACTGAGTGAGGGGCCTGGGGTGCAAAGTGTAAGGAGGGGTCCTCTTAGGGTCATGTAGGTACCTCATTTGCCTCACCCTAATTTCACCCTTAACGGCTGATTTCGTGCATGACTTGAAGGCAGTCACTGTCTCTCTGACCATTAGTTTCTTAACCTGTAAAATGAAGGGGTCAGAAGACTGTAAGGCCTGTTAGGTTCTCTGGCTTTGAAACTGCTGCATAGTTCCATAGGTCCTGAGACACAGCTCACCCTCTCCATCCGTCCTACCCACTGGACTTTACCCCTTTGTCCTAGGGGGGGCTGCTCATCTGGGTAGTTAGCTTCCCCAGCCATGCCTGGCTTCATCGTCAAGGGCTCAGTTCACAAGCCACTTAGCAAAGGCAGTCATGAAAGAACAACATAGCGTCTGTTCCAGGCCTTCGTGGAGGACGTGCTCACATTCCTCACCTCAAAGCAAAATTGATCTGCCTTGACCTGGGGCCGCACCAGAGAGAAGGAACTGTTGGGGGCTGGGGTGCCATTCGGTGCTCAGATGAGGTCAGTCACCACATGGTCCTCAGTAGCCTTGAGGAATGAGAGGTATTTGACTCCCCTATTAATCACTTGGAAGAGTCATGAATATCTTGGTTCAAAGTGACAGTTTGCATCTTAACAGGAAAGGGGCCTAAGTTCTGACTCCCACTTAGAAAAAGTTCATGTAGCTTTGTTCCTCCAAGATAGAAACAGAGGACCATAGAGATGGGGAAGGGAAGAAACTGAGGAGTGAGAAGGCGAGAGGGTGTTGTTTATCCAGTTCAATCTTAGATCCCACACTTGAGCCCAAGCTCAAAGGGTTCTGTCAGTCATCCTGAATATGGAGACTTCTCCAAGGGGAGCTCTTTTCATTGTTGGGTGACAAAAATTATTAGAAATATTTTATTTTTTATGTATTATATCTATAAATAAAAATTTATATAAATACAGATGTGATATATAATATAAATATATTAGTCAGTGTGAATGAGGAACAGGTCAATTTCTCCTCCAAATAGTTGCCCTTAAAATCCTTGAAGACATTATCATATTCCTCCTGAATTTCTTATTCCCCATACGAAAAAAAAAAAAAAAAAAGCCTGTTTTTTTCCAGCTCATTCTCGCTCTCTCATTTTTTTTTTTTTTTTTTTTTTTTTGAGACAGAGTCGGCCAGGCACGGTGGCTGACGCCTGTAATCTGTAATCCCAGCACTTTGGGAGGCCGAGGTGGTAAGATCACAAGGTCAGGAGTTTGAGACCAGTCTGGCCAACATGGTGAAACCCTGTCTCTACCAAAAAAATACAAAAATTAGCCAGGTGTGGTGGTGTGCACCTGTAATCCCAGCTACTCAGGAGGCTGAGGTAGGAGAATTGCTTGAATCTAAGAGGTAGAGGTTGCAGTGAGCCAAGATTGTGCCACTGCATTCCAGCCTGGGCAATAGAGTAAGACTGTCTCAAAAAAAAAAAAAAAAAAAGACTTGTAATATAAGGATGGGGCCAGATATGGTGTCTCACGCCTGTAATCCCAGCACTTTGGGAGACCAAGGTGAGAAGCTCAGTTAAGGCTAGGAGTTTGAGACCAGCTTGGCCAACCTGGTGAAACCCTGTCTCTACTAAAAATACAAAAATTAGCTGGGTGTGGTGGTGCACGCCTGTAATCCCAGCTACTCGGGAGGCTGAAGCACGAGAATTGCTTGAACCCAGAGGCAGAGGTTGCAGTGAGCCGAGATCACACCACTGCACTGCAGCCTGGGTGACAGAGGGAGACAAGTCTTCCAGGCAATCCCAACCCCTCTGCTTCACCTGGTCCCTTCTTCTGGAATCACAGCTTATCAGTGACCTTCATCTGGTGTTGGTCCAGAACTACACATGGCTATGCAAGCGTGGAGAGCAGAGCAATCATCTCAGCCTGCAGATGCCACTGGGCGATGACAGAACCAGAACAGACTCCCATTCTGTTGATCCCCAGGCACCTGGGGATGATGGAGAAAACACCAATAAGCCAGCAGGAAAAGCGACTAGCCTTCCCAACATGCAAACACTGCGTGTGAAATTTACCATGTTTGTATCATCATTCAGGGATCACAGACCATGCATCGGAACACCACCAGTACATCCATAGATGCAGAAGCGTTGACCAAATGGATGTACTATTCCCTGACTCTAACCAATGAAAATCACATGGCCAATCTTTTAAAAAGCAAGTAGTGGGCCAGGCATGGCAGCTTATGCCTGTAATCCCGGCACTTTGGGATGCCGAGGCAGGCAGATCACGAGGTCAGGAGTTCAAGATCAGCCTGGCCAACATGGTGAAACCCCGTCTCAACTAAAAATGCAAAAATTAGCCAGGTGTAGTGGTGGGTGCCTGTAATCCTAGCTACTCAGGAGGCTGAGGCAGGAGAATTGCTTGAACCTGAGAGGCAGAGCGTGCAGTGAGCCAATATTGCACCATTGCACTCCAGCCTGGGTGACAAGAGCAAGACTCCATCTCAAAAAAGAAAAAAAGCAAGTAGTTAGTAGTGTAGGGGGAAAGTCCTGGATAAGAACTCATGCCTCTTTGATTTACACCTCTGTTGCCTAAACTGTCTTCCTTTTCTTGATGACTAATACATATGTTAGCTGCTCAGCTTTTCTTTATACTACACTTTTGGGAGATGCACACTCTTCTCTGACTCCCCTTAGCCTAAAGTTCTGGAATAATTATCCCTTCATTTCATTTGATACCAGATTTTGCATACTTCTTTTAGTGATCCGATGATTCTCTCTTTAAGATACATATTAGTTCCATAAATATTACACAATATTGCTAGTGAAATGGAAAAAGACTGTTCTTAACTTGTCTCAATAGTTTCAGCTCTCAAACTATTTATTTGACATCTCCTGAACTTTTACCCCAAACCTGTATCTGAAGTTTATATCCAAAATTGTCAGCTACCCCTATCCAATGGAACCTCTCCCTTGGATATCACATAGGTACCTGACTTTCATCATTTCCCTTCCCCCATCCATTCCTTGAATAATTTACCACAATCAATGGTCTTACAACCATTGCTGATCATAGCACTGGACAGATGAAGGAGAAAATTCACATTCCTTGAGCATCTACCATGAAGGTTAACAACCCTGCAGTGAAAATACCATCCTTAGGTTACAAATAAGAGAATAGGGGCACATTCTCTCATGCCCCACATCTAATTCTCCAACAAATGCAGTGGGAACTCATAAAACTCAATGGCAAAAATACAAATAACCTGATTCAAAAACAAATAAAAACCTAATAGAGATTTTCCGAAGAAGACCTACAGATGTACAACAGGTGTATAAAGGTGCTCAATGTAACTAATTATAAGGGAAATACAAATCAAAGCCGCACTGGGATATTACCTGGAATTTGTTAGGATGGCTATTATAAAAAAAGACAAGAGTTAACAAGTGTTATTGGCAAGATTGTGGAGAAAAGGGAACCCTTGTATATTGTCGATGGGAATGCAAATTGATACAGCCACTATAGAAAAGAGTATACAGGTTCCTCAAAAAATTAAAAATGGAATTAGCATATGATGCAGCCATCCCATTCTAGGTATATATCTGAAG